ACGAGTAAAGCAATTGTATGTGGCAATGTGCACATACTTTTGCACGGGCAGTTGTGTCTGTAAAAATGTGATAAATTGCTCTTGGATTTTGACCTTATTTCCTATGACAATTTTTTCCCATTAAGGTATCATGTCAGAATAAACTCACGAGGTACACAGTTCAATTCAACTGTTAGCTGAACCATTACTTTTTTCTAATTTTTAATATTGTCACATAGGTTGAAAATAACTGTTGGTGGCAAACATTTTCTTTCATTTTTACTGGACTTTATTAAGTATTTCATCTAATTAATTCTTGTCATTTTGAATTTTTTTGTTTCCACTATTTATTTGACTGAGTGACTGCAACTGAAGCTAGAACAACTTGGCTCATTAGGAAATAAAGCAAATTGGCTGAAGTAAATTAGAAAAGTAAAATTCATATTATAATACTTCTACTCGTTGGCTATATTCTTCCTTTATGGAAAATTCAATACAAAGTTAATTAAAAAAGATAAGCAAAAAATGCCCTGGAGTTCACAATGCAACATCAGTTCAATTTATGGTATTGAATAGACACTTACTTTGATTTGGAGATACAAAAATGTCATTGTTGAGCTACTGATTCTGGCAAATGGTGAGGATCATGTAAGAAAAATTCATGCCATGAAAGTCGTGTGTCTATTTAAGGACACATTCATATTTTATGCATGATCTTTGTTCCAGTTATGCTATTTGCTAGCATAGGCATGTCTATCTTTTCCAATATTTTTAAACATGAATTGAATTTTCTGAATAGAATTTTAATTGTAAACGGCTGTGAAAAAAAGCATATTTCTGAGGGTGAATAATAGTAAAAACACTGAGGTTTTATTAATGATCACAAATCTGCTTGATAGCATTAAACTTAAGCATGAGGGGGGAAATGCACTTTTAGTCTGCCTTTAGCAAGATTAATTATATAGTTCATATAGAGTAGAGTGGGTTGATTAAATTGTGTTTACTGAATTTTTGCTACATTGCCACAACAGGAACTGAAATTCTGGGCTATATTGCAAGTTCAGTTTTTATTGAAATGTGGTGCTTTTAAATATCATTATTTATCTGATGGGAGCTTTATACTTTTTTCTTCTTAAATCCCTCGGTATACTAATAGTTCTTCATAGAATACTACTGTTCATTCTCTGGATTTTGATGGTATTCCTTGGTAGCAATACCATTGTTTTTGAAACACTGCTGTTTCTTGGGTGTTGTTTAATATTTTAATAATATTAAAAGAAAGTTACTGTAAATTGCAAAATCAAACACTAGAAGATGCCAGGTTAACAAATGCCCCAAGAGAACCTTCTTCAAGACAGAACCTCCCCCAACATCTTACACCCTCCCTCCCCCAGATATTTTTATAAACTGGAAACTATTCAGTTTATAATTAAGTAATTGCAATCCATACTGGATGACAACCACATCTTGAAATACATTTTTTCTGAACTCCCACTTCTGGCCCTCAATCAACTCCCCAGCTCCACCAAACTCATAATCAGAAGTAAGCTCCCCACAGACCAGGACCCACCAACTCAAAGGATCAAGTTTAATAAGTATAAATGCAAAGTACTCCACTTATGAAGGAACCATCCATTTCACACATACAGAATGGGAAGTGACTGTGTAGGAAGGAGTGCTTCAGAAAAGGATTTAGGGGTTATAATGGACAACAATTTAACATGAGTCAACAGTGTGACACTGTTGCAAAAAAAGCAAACATGATTCTGTGATGCATTAACAAGAGTGTTGTGAAGAAGACATGAGAAGTCATTCTTCCATTCTACTGTGTGTTGATTAGGCCCCAATTGGAGTATTGTGTCCAATTCCGGGCACCACATTTCAAGACAGATGTGGAGAAATTGGAGAAGGTCCAGAGAAGAGCAACAAAAATGATTAAAGGTCTAGCGACCTATGAGGGAAGACTGAAAGAATCGGGTTTGTTTAGTTTAGAAAAGAGAAGACTGAGAGGGACATGATAGCAGTTTTCAAAAATCTAAAAGGGTGATAAAAGGAGGAGGGAGAAAAATTGTTCTCCTTAGCCTCTGAGGATGGGCAATGGGCTTAAATTACAGAAAGGGAGGTTTAGGTTGGACATTAGGAAAGACTTTCTGTCAGTGAGGTTAAACACTGGAATAAATTGCCTAGGGAGGTTATAGAATCTCCATCACTGGAGAAATTTAAGAGCAGGTCAGATAGACATCTATCAGGGATGATTTAGACAGTGCTTGGTCCTGCTGTGAGGGCAGGGGACTGGACTTGCCGACTTCTCGAGGTCTCTTTCAGTTCTAGTATTGTGTGATTCTATGAAAGCAGCACCATACCCTGCCAGAATAACATATACAAAACCTGCACATGTGTCTCCATTATGATCAACACATGACCATCATTGCTAATATATGGCTATCACAAGATGTGCTGTACCTCCTCCAGTGCACTAAATGCTCCAGTAAGAATTAGTTGGGTGTTGTCTGTCCCTGACCCTACCCCCTGGGGTTCACAGATTCTTGAACAGAAGAAGTATGTCATTATTCACTGCTTCGGTGAGCGATCAGTCCACTGAAATAGGGCACAGCCTAGGGATAACCACATGGGCACTTCTACATTCTGGTGTTCACCTTAAACACATTGTTCAAAAGTTATTCATTATGTTATGTTGAAACACTTTTCTGCCTAACACTAAGGTTAGTTTGCTAACTTAGTTGTTTACCTGACTGGACTGCTGACCCAGTTATTTACTTGATCAGGTTTCTAACCAAGCTTTGTACCTGGCTATTGCCTTTCTTTGATGGACAAGTAGGCAGCTTTTCACATGTTCTAATACCTAAAATATAAATTCTATATATTACATATCCAGTGGGTAAATACAGACAACCACTATGCTCTCGAATGAACCCACGCAGAGAAATGATAAAAGACAAACACATCATATCACCTGTGGGTGATGACTTTTCACAGAGCAATGACTCCATATCTGACCTATCAGTCCTTGACCTTAAAAGAAACTTGCACAATACCTTGAAAAGCCAAGCCTGGGAGTTTAAATTTATAACTTTGCTTGTCACTAAAAATAATGGACTTAATAAAGACACAGGATGTATGGTTTATTACAACAACCCATTTACCTTCCCCCTTGTCTTCCTAAACATACAGATGTGTTAGGCTTTGTCCACACTTAAATTTTTAAAGTGGAACCATGGCAGCTGTGGGAGGGAGCTGTCCTGGGTGCTCTATGTAAAACACCTCTGCGAAGGGAGTAGCTAACAGCACTGGGAGCATGGCTCCCAATGATGTAGCCTGGCTCACATTAGAGCTTTACAGAGCGGTAACTTGCTGTGTTCAGGGATGTGTATGTATTTTCACACCCCTGAGCTGGAAAGTTAACGTCCCATAAAGTGCCAATATAGATTTAGTCTTAGCTTTCTTTCACTGTGAATGATCTCTTAGGATGTGTGTTAACTACTTACGGTAAAAAATCTTTTCCCCCTTGTATTTAGCTATGACATTCTAGGTTACTTTCACCAACTGAGGTCCAATGAAGTATATTACCTCACTTGCCCTGTCTCACTTCCTTAGTGTGAGGGGTTTTTTCCCCCTGACAGATATCAAAGGCCTATTGCAAACAATGGAGATCTTAATGGTTCTCAAAGAAAGGTAGCAAGTATAAAAATGTTAGACATTCTAAATAGAGTGTCTGCTACCATGTGCTCCTGTGATACAGCATTAGCAAACTTTCAGACAGATTAGTTCAAGAGATTGTGGCTAGCTCCAATAGGTCTACTGTGGATAAGGAATTTTAATTAATAACAACAGTAGAAATAAAAGTTTTCAAATGTGGAGGCAACTCCCACTGAAGTACATGAAACTTGCTGATGCATAGCACCTCTGCAAATTAGATCTTTATTCTCTGGAAACCTCCATTTATTCATTTCTAAAATAAATGTAAAAACCTTTTCAACACCCCACATGGCCACTAGGAAGCTCATAAACAATCTAGGCATCCTTGGAGGAAAGCTGTTTGGGTAAATAAAATTTCAATATAATATCTGAAGGAACTTCTTATGCTCTTGGTCAAATTGACCTTAGCCTGTATGCACCAATTTGAAGACATTAACCTCTTGTGTTGCTACAGTCAATATAAGTAGTCTGGATCTCAAATGACCTTCAAAGTAGAAACATTAGCAATAGGTTCAGGCCTGTGCTACTTCATACAAAGTCATGAATTTTCTTTTGGGATATGCGTATAAATATATATATATATATATATATGAGAGAGTCTTTCTCCAGGATATCTGAGCAGCATATTGGTGGCTCTTTCTTGGATGCAACCACAGTACGTAACTGCAGCTATACAGGGTGCTTAGAAGACTTCAAAGTCTCCTGAGGCTTTTAAGTTTATCAAACACTCCTCATTGAAATCTGCTTGATGTGCTTTGTTGAATGTCATTGTCAGTAGTACTGTTGCTGCTTTGAAATGGTGATTTATTTTTCATTTGGTTACTTTTCCAGAGTGATATGACTAACATAGCTGATTTGTGATTAGAGAGAAAACATTGCCATAATAACTAAGGGCCCTAGTGTGACTGAGAAGGGTAAAATAAGCTCTCCCTGCCTCTTAAATGACTGGCAGGAAGGCCAGAAACAACTGCATTCCCTACCCCTTGCAGAATGCAGGAATTGCTCCCTCCAGCCATCTCAAAAGGTGTAGGAAGGATTCATGGCCCTGACTTCACAATGGATCATGGAGCAGGGCTGGTGCACATGGGAGAGTAGAATTGTCTTTCCTAAGAAGCTGCCATAGTCTCCCTAGCACACTGATTGGGAGTTTAGGGCAGAGTTGTGTCTCCCTGACAGTTGTGTGACCCTATCTCACTACAGAAGTGTGCCTAAATGGCATAACTGAATGTTAAAGAAAGCTTCCAAAGAAGCAATTTTCCTCCTTAGTAATTTCCCCATTACCTTCCCATTTGCTTCACCTTCAGGATGGTATCAAGATGAATGTCTTTTTGGATAACAGCCTGGATGTGGGTTCCTGTTGATTCAGCCAATGCCACTTTGACCTCATCTACACCGGGAAACTTGACATGTCTTTATAAGTTTGGTAAGAATCAATCCTATGAAGTGTTTAGATCAGTAGTGGACAACCTGTGGCCTATAGGCTGCACATGAGCCATTGGGGTTTGATGTGTGGCCCGCGAGACATTTTGTTTACCAATGCCCATGTGCAGGGTTACGAGAGTCTACTGAGAAGGGTAAAATAAGCTCTCCCTGCCTCTTAAATGACCTGTAGGAAGACCTTACGTCCATATACTAATGTGCAGAATGCAGGAATTGCTCCCTCCAGCCATCTCAAAAGGTGTAGGAAGGATTCTAGGTATGCATGAGCATTAAGCAAAACTATCCTAGCACAGGAGACCATTTTCATTACAACAATCTTGCAGCCCACTGAGATAAAGGAGGATCACTCATGTGGCCCTCTCACAAGATTAGGTTGCTCATTGCTGGTTTAGATAGTACTGTTTTGCCAGGCAGCACTCATTAATGTGGACAGGGCAAACAGGGTAATTTGACTGCTGATGCTTTACAAGGAATGCCTTTCTTCTAAAAAAAAAAATTGCTGTATTTATTGGGTAGGCCCAAGCTACAACATTTTTTTCTGGATTCAGATTGACAGGTGGGCTGTTTTGGAAGGGTTTGTATCGGTTAAGCAATGAAATTGAGATCCAGCTCTGGCACCAAACTTCTCCAAAGCTCTGATCTGATGTTTTGGTTTGGGCCTATCTTTATGGTTGATAGTTTTATAATATAACAACAGCAAAGAGCATCCACAAAAATGTCAAATCTGGCCAAATAAATATGACGTGGGTACTACTATACTTGTCGCTTCCCTCTAGTTGTTTATTGTGAAATTTCAAAGATATCTGCAATCCAAGGAACTATAACCACTCTGCACTGTTTGAAATATTGGACGGGTAGCCATGTTAGTCTGAATCTGCAAGAACAATGAGAAGTCTTGTGACACCTTATAGTCTAACAGATTTATTGGAGCATAAGCTTTCGTGGGCAAAGACCCAGTTTGTGGGACATGCATCTGATGAAGTGGGTCTTTGCCCATGAAACCTTATGCTCCAATGAATCTGTTAGTCTATAAGGTGACACAGGACTTCTCATTGTTTGAAATATGTGACCTTATGTATGCTATGCACATTTATCATACTAGTCACTGTGCCATCCCTCTATTGTGCCTGACATCTACCTTACGTCCATGTACTAATGTGCTTCCAATGGTGCACAGATTTGCTACTATCACCACATGGATTAGAACTTCTTAAAGCAAGGCCAGCCACAATGTAGTCCTCCAACCTACCAGTCTCCATGGATCTTATCCCTGTCTTGTAAACACAAAAATAAGGAGACATTTGATAAAATTAGAAGGTGGAAAATTCAATACTGATAAAAGGAAGTACTAGTCATGCAACAAATCATTAGGAAATCATTGTCAAAGGATGCCATTGAGGTTAAAAATAATAGCAGTATTCAAAAAGGGATTGGACGTTTATATGGCTAACAAGAATAGCTAGACTTATAAAAATGCTAACAAAATTGTGGAAGCAAAATACAGCCTCACTCTTCAGAGTGAGCCAGTCCCTCATTATTAGGAATTAAATTGAGACTTTAATGGGGATAGATTATGCTCACCTACTCATTGGGAGATTTGTTCCACTTTTCTTCGATGCATCTTGCATTGGCCACTATCAAGGGATCATGGATCTGGTCTTGTCTGGCAATTCCTATGCTCCTAGAGTCAGTATAGATAGATATCCCTGGAATAATTGCCCAATTGGTGCAAACAGTCTTTCCACAGGGCACAGACTGCGCATTCTAAGCAGATGATTGCTAGGTGTGTTGGCCAGAGGAGTTTAAGCTGGCCAGAAGACAGGTGTCTGATACACTGTAGAGCTCTCTGGAATGCTATTGTCACAGTAAACATAAAAATCTTTTATTTCTGCCTCTCCATGGATTTGATCAGTGGCAGGTTTCTGGAAGAAACCATTTTACTAACAAACATACCGCTATCTTATTTGAGGATGATGTAGGTTCTGGTTAACCTCTGAAGACAAAGAACAAATCCTAGGGACTCCTTAACTTAATCCTACCCAATAATGTACTATGGTGGCAGATTGGGCCATTGCCAGGTGGGGCAAGCAGTGACCTGAGAAGATGAAGGGTAGCATTTCCATTTTAAGACAAACTAGCAGGGAATAGCCTTGGCATTGAGTTAGTGCTGGGAGTGCTAGGCAGGAATCATGGGAGTTTGACTTTCTCTCCCACAATGACCTTGGTTCCTACAAAACCTTTCCAAATCACCTAAAAGCCAACGAGTTGTGCTGGGAACTGTCTGAAGGGTACCCAATGGCCAGTGTAATGGCACACAAAGGCTATGTCTACACTGCAAGGTTTTTGTGCAAAAACCCCTGGAGCATCCACACCTCAAATGTGCTTTTTGCTCAAGTAAATCAACAGTAAAACAGTAGAAGAGAGGGCTTTTTCCAGTATAGGTAAACCTCCTTTTACAAGGCATAACTCCTTTTTGTGCTACAGCTATTGCGCAAAATGGCAAGTGTGGACACTCCAGAGGGAAAAAGCACAAGGTACTCTGATGGCCATTCTATGAGCTTTCTTGCGCAAGAGCATCCACGCAGTGTGGTGTGGACGTGCTCTCGTGCAGAAGTTTTTGTGCAAAAACTCTTGCACAAAAGGCTTCTTGAGCAAGAAGCGTGTAGTGTAGATGTAGCCAAAGTGCAGTGCTAGTGTATCCCATGCACCTACTGGGTGTGGTTCACTGACCGGCCTCCTTCTCTTCCTTACTGTCAGGGTGGTTAAACACTGGAATAAGTTGCCCAAGGAGGGTGTGGAATCTCCATCTCTAGAGATTTTTAGGAGCAGGTTAGATAGAGATCTATCAGGGATGGTCTAGACTAGTGGTTCTTAACCTTACTGCAGCCTGCACCCCTTTGGTTCTCAAAATATGTTCTTGCACCCCTTTTTAAAAATAGTTGAAGTAGGTCAGTTTTAAACCTAAGATATATCATAAAAATCTGGCATGTCTCGCACCCCCAGAAAGGGCATCTCTCACCGCCAGGAGGTGCGTGCACTCTAAGGGTATGTCTACACTACCACCCTAGTTCGAACTAGGGTGGTAGTGTAGACATACCCAGAGAGACTGTGTTTGCTCTAGAGTCTTAACTGAGAGGCATCTGGTTTTATAGCTGAAGTTATAGATGCTTATGCACTAAGCTCCATAAGTCCCAGGTTCAGTTCTACCTGTCAGTGTTACACTAGCAGTTTAATTTGGGCAAGTGAACTGGACCCAAAACATTATTAGAATGGACACTGGTATATACTAACACTGGTGCTGACCCACTAGTTCAGCTACCTAAGGCTCAGCCCTTTAGTATACACAAGGCCTAAATTGTAGCGAAAGTAGGTCTCTTCATTCTTCCCAAACCTTTCAACATCAAAGGTGCTAAGTATTTGTGTCTCCCCCTCTCCCCTCCCCATAAAGCTGCTTGTCATTAACTGTAGCAGCCTTCTGCAGAGGTATTGTTACTTGTAAATAAAATGTGGTTGCTAAGAAACATGATGATTAACATGCTGACAATACAACCTTCTTTGATAGTTTGGGCATCAATTGTCTGCTTCTGTAATCAGCAAGAAAATAATTTTTAGAGAGGTTTGTCAGACCATAGAAAAGTAGGTTTCTAGAATTAAATTAGAATCTAGTGTTTTCATATGCAGAAAAGGTCTCAAAGCAATAACTTTATCAGGTTTTAGGTACTTGATCATTTTTGTTTTTGTTTCTGTTAATTTTTCAGCTCACAAAATAAGATTAGTGTTAATATATCTAAACAAAGGCAACTGGAAACTTTGGCTCCCTTAATTATCATTTTATGTGTAATTTTATGTAGTAAATTTTCTTCTGGCTGGTCTAACTCCATTTTAAATTTCCTTTGCCCAAATTTTTCTTGTCAGAGAATTTGCAGAGATCCTCTTCCTTTGCACATGCAATACCACCACTCCTCCAACCAGCCTCTGTGCTATCTTAAACAAGGGTGAGGGGTTTGAGTCTCCTTTCCATTGCAGAGACAAGAACCAAAACACTTACCATGATCACATGACAATATTTCCATTTTAATGCTGTGCCTGGGCTGGTAAGAAAGCTTGGACTTGGGAGAAACTACATAATCAAGTCAGAAACTAACATCATCTCTTGTAACTGGATTTGTAATTGCACTTGCATATGCTGTGACAGATGGGCGCTGATAGTTCTGTTCTGAAAAAGAATTACTAAAAATGGTGCTGTCCTATCCAATTACTATGCCCCTGTATGTATCCAGAATCATATCTCCTTACTTGAGTGATTAAAATACATTCTTCATTGCTTTTTAGCCCTCAAGAGTCAAGCCAATTAAAACAGTGGAACCTGTTCTTTTTGACTATAGCATTGTATTTCATCTATGTGGCTAATCAGTCCTATGGGGCAAACCCATTATGGGCAATGGGACTGTGCAGTGTTAATCTGGAGAAGGCAGGGATTCAAAAGGTTTAGTGAGAGTTTAATGTGGATCTGTGGAGCTTTTATTACAGGTGGTAATAGGGGGTAAAAAATGTCTTTTAGAACCTTTGTTGAATTTCCAGCACCAGCCGTGAAGGAAAGTAAACAAATAAATAAAGCAAACACCTACTCACCAGATATTCTTATTTACAAATTTAATCAATGAAGCTGCAGAGCACAGAATCCCACAGTGCCATGTCCACAGGTTTCAATTTTCATCAGTAAGAAAGGGAGTGAATTATGCCAGAAGGCAGGAAGAAGGTAAGATTTAAGGCAGGATTTGAGGGGAGAAAAAGCACTTGGCAAATGGAGGAGGGTAGCTGGTAGGAAGGCTGGGAAAGAAACAATAACATGTAAACATGAGTGTATAAAGGTAACTGAGGCCCCTAATTCATTAGGCATTTCAGCCCACGCCTAATGGTCCAGTTCCCAGTAGGGATCATTCCACTGATTTTAATGAGAGCTACTCGAGGCCTATCAGCCTT